GCTCCAATCTATTCGTGGGGAGCATCACGTGCTGGGAACCGGGCCCAGCGTCCCTTATAATGGAAATACATTAATGATTGACAATTGATGAAAAATTAGGATGATTGAAGATCATTTTGGATGATTTAGGATGTCAGAGTGGGTGATTGAGGTCATGAAATAGAGCTAGACGATGACTAATCAGAAAGATTGTCTACTCAGCACTGAATTACTATCCTATCCCTAATTTCCTGTATCCATTCCAAATCCAAACAACCAATCAAATTGAGCCCGTGCTGTGCACCAATCAGGCCTCTTCCCGGTCTCACACCCCAATCTGGCTCGGTTACAGGGCAGCGCTACCCACCCCCCACCCCAGCTCCGACCATCGTCGGCCAGATTGTAGCCATTAGTCAAGTTTGCAGATTGCCTTCCTCCCTCGACAATTCCAGACCTCTATACAAAGCCTGTAGCTCCTACACAAGCAGGTTACAGGGCACTGCCCCAGCGCCGGCTAGCGTCGTTCTGGCGCCAACTCAACCTGGCCATTACACAAGAAGACTCAATTAGGAAATTAGCTAATCTAGAATGCCAACCAGAAATCAAGGATCTGATGATATCAGAATCCTGATCAGCAAAACTTTCTGAAGATGAAATTTTTCGAGTACCCTGAGATGATCACAAAGATGATGGATAATGATGACGACGCTGATGATTATTTCTCTCCACCCCTACCCTTCTTCCATGTATTCTCCTCCTCTCCTCTCATTTCCTCTTCTCCTCTCGCTGCCTCCGTTGAGCCCAACCCCACTATCAGCATGAAGTTCCTATCAGCCCCAACGAGAGAGGGAGAACCTCCCCATTCCCTTCTACCTTGAGGTAACCAGTTCCCCCAAAAGGTGTACCTCAAAACTAACACTCTGACCTAGTCTGCCTCCGCCAGGAGACAATGCGCCCCCATACATATCTCCCAGCCCCAGCCCAGGTCAGATCCCATCATCCGCGTCTACTCCCTGGAGGGCAATCACCTCCCACCCTGTGTTACCCCTGCGGAGTAGCGCTCCCTTCCTGACCAACCTACCTACCAACTAGACCATAGCCTATCTGGGAGATGAGAATATGACCACCAACACAGAGATAACTACTGATTGATGAAAAAATGATTAAAGAAACCGTGATGATGCTGCTGCTGCTGATGATGATTGATGATTGATGATGATGATGAAATAAAATTGGCAAAAATAAGTAAGGAACGCCGGACTTGCGATGCCCTAATGGCATCGGTGTGAAAGATTGACAGCTCACTATTGCTGTAATGAAAATAGAAGATACAAATGATTACGATTTTTACAGAGAAGTCCAGATGATGATCATGAAGAAGATAAAAAGAAGATAAATAACATGGATGACGAATTAGAGAACCCGATGATGATTGCCACCGGTAACCAAATGAGGACTACAAAAATGACAGTGTCCTTGACGAAAACCCCCCGCTGAAATGACAATGATGAAAAATCTTGATGCTCATGATGGATAACCTGCACAAGACAAAAAACAAACGAAAGCACATATATAGGTTGATGATGACCTTTTAGCCCTCCTCTTGATGATACTCTCCCAGTGGCACTGTGATGATTCTTCAAGTAGGACCAACGTTCTCCGCACTTTGGTCTCCACGGGGCTGACTCCACTTTCCTCCATCGACATCGACTGTCGTCAACTCGCACGAGCTCTCCAGCCTCTTTAAAGGTCTTGGCTATGGAGTACTTCATGTGAAAAGCACAGGGGAAATGTTCAAACAGCAGCTGCCGCTACCATTCTCCCTTTTCCTTTGTGCCTCAGGCCAGATGCCACGTCAGCCTGTGACGAAGTAATGACCCAGCGCCTCTGGATACCGCGCGTGCATCAAGCGCTATCCCTCATCTAATTCACAACATCACAGCACCCTCGCACCAGCGCCTCCCTCCCGTCAGCTTCCAGCACCACGCCACGTGTCAGCTAGCATCTTACTAGTCACCCCAAGCCAGCGCCTCGCCAGCCACAAGTCACCAGCGCCCCACCACTCACCTGCTGCTAGCGCCTCGCCCCCCGCCAGCAGCCAGCGCCTCACTGCACTCACACAGCCAGCGCCTCGCCACTCGCGAGAAGCCAGCGCCTCGCCACCTGCGAGAAGCCAGTGCCCCACCACCTCTGACCAGCCAGCGCCTCGCGGCCCTCGCCTGCAAGCAACCAGCATGCCACCATCCGCGTGCCGCGGCGGCCCGCCAGCCATAGCGCTAGCCACTCACTCCCCCCCCCCTCACTGGTGGAGCCACAACATTGTGTTGTCATAATTACCAAGCAGAATATTCCCCAGCCCCACACCCATTATACCTACATTAGAGAATTATACTTGTCCCAGGCCCTCCCATCAAAAACCAACCAAGGACATAGGAGGACCAGGATTGCCACCAATGACCTGTCGGTCCTCCACAAAAAGTTGAAGGACTCTTATTGCTATTTTTTTGCCGAGGCGGAGTAGAATGCGCACCAAGCTTCGACGGAGCGCCAGCGCGATCTTTTTTTGTTTTGTTTTGGCTCGCACCGCCAGCCATTTTGATCCGGTGGCACCCGGGGCCAAGTCCCACATGCACCATTGAACTAACTCAACGCAACGGTGTGACACGGTTTTTGCGACTTAAAAACTCAAAACAAAGGCAGAAAAGTCTGACAAGGCTCGGCGGGCATCCGCTCCAGGTTCTCGGACTTGCCGAGGTCATCTTAGTAGTGGTGGAGTGTCAGGGCGGCGTGCGGCGGCGGCCATGGCAGCGAAGCTCTTGTGAGCAACATGTTCACCGACACTGGAGTGTCTTTGCGCGACAATAAGCACGGCGACAAGCAGCAGAGATAGAACTTCAGGTAAGTTGACGCAGTCCACTACTCGATGGCGTCAAAAGATATCCTCCGACAAGCTGCTGCTGCCTGGCTATCCACCATGGAAGACAGCAGACAACGACTCCAGGATATGGTGTCTCTTCTCTCTGCCTCCACTCCACCTCCACCAGAGGTTGTTGGGGGAGCGATCTCGGTGGCGAGATGGGTGGAGACAGTGCTACAGCAGATGCTGGAGGTTATCTGGGTGCTGGAGGAGGGGCCGGCACCTGAGCTGGACGAGCTTGTTGACTGGCGGCAGGTGGGTGCTCTGCTCAACGATTGTTACGCGCTCCTTGATGAAGGGAGCGAGCAAGGTGCTGACATGGCCAAGCGCTCAGGCGGGGAGCTCTCAATAACCATGTTGGCGGCAGTTGCACCAACAGTATCAACTCCAATGACGACATCAACACCTACAGCAATATCAGCTCCAGCAGTATCGACTCAAACAATGACTTCGACACTGACAACAAAATCAACAACCACATCGACGCCATCTTTTTCACCAACGACCATTGCCCCAGCGCCTCGCACGATGATTACATACGACATAGGGCGTTCATCTAAATCAACAACCGTATTGCCATCATTACCTTCATCAACAGCGACCGCTGTCTCGGCGCTGGTCACCACGGTTTCACATGGTTCGGGCCGTAGTGCTTCGATAAGGGTTTCCGTTTCTCAACCTCCGGAGGCATCGCCGACGACAATAACTTCGCCACAATCGATTGGCAGGGTCACTGGCGCTATACCGACTACAATATCTATGGCGGCTTTGCAAGATTTGGGGTGTTCTTCTCCAATCAGGGAGACTGCTTCTTACCTTCCATCGGGCAAGCTGGCCTCCGTATCTTCACAGCGATCTGTCCTTCTCGCCTTTGCCATTCAGCCTTTCGCACGTGGCGAGGTGGGGTAGTGTGATGGGAAGCAGAAGGCTCTCCCTCACCCCTCCCTCCTTTCTTGGTTCTCAATTGTATTGGTCTGGCTGACAGAAGGAAGAGGGGTGGAGGGGTGCTTGGAGAGGAAGCTTATTCACCTGCGGCTGATTGGTGTTTAGCTGTTTTTAGTCTGATGGATCGTTTCCACCTTGGACACATATGCCCTCCCTTTCGACGTGTCCTGTGTTCAGATTCTGTAGCGATGGGGTGCCATGAGTACTGTTATACCTGGGTCATCATCATTTAAGGTTTGACATGGTTTGATGATCTGTAGGTATAGATTAGAATTTTCTTCCAATTACTGTGCTCCCCTTTGGTTTGCGTCTGTGTTAACTAGTTGCTCCGGGGAAGCTCGACCTAATTACTCATGAATCACTAAACTCTTTTGCCCTGTTATCATTCTCCTTGCCCTAATGGTATCTCCCCCCCTTCTCACCGTGCAGAAGATTAAAGTAGGGATAATTGAGGACTGTAGGGCAGAGCTTGATTCTGCACACAACGGGGTTAATCCTTCCTCACTGAGGAAGCAATCAATGCCCCGGGCTCACGCTATACTCGTGTTATACAGGGAAGCTGTCACCAGGGGAGCAGTGGCTGAGG